TAATTATTTATATTTACTTATTATATACATTTCATTATTAAAAATTACCTTGCAATTAAATAAATAAAAATTTCCTTAACAACGTTTCTCAATACTCAAACACAAACAATTTTCTCATCATCCAAACACAAAATGAAACAAAATTTTCATAATCCATTTCATATTTTACAAGAATTCAAGTAAAATTTACCCATAAAAAAATCAGAATTATTCACCTAAATCCTCACTTCCCGTTATGGTACCAAATTGCAAACTAAATGTTCTTTTCCCTTTTCACCTCAAATTCTAAACAACCTATAAGATGGAGGAAAAAGGCTGATTTGAGGAAGAAGAGAAGGAAAGTTTCATGAACACAAACCCAGAAATGCATTAATTAAGATGAAGCAAGTTATTTGGGTTCATGAACACAAACCCAGATCTGGGTTTCTGTTCATGAACCCAGATCTGGGTTTGTGTTCATGAACCAGAGTTTGGTTCACTAACAGAAACTGAAATCTGGGTTCACAAACATGAACACAAAGAAAAAGATGAGAGGAGAGGGTAGAAAGAATCTCAGCAGGGGAAGTTGACAAAAAAAAACCGAAAAAATAAAACAAAAAAGGGAGAAAACGGTTGGAGGAGAGGGAGAAAATGGAGAACAGTTATTATAATAATGGAGGAGAACAGTTACTGTAATAATGGAGGAGAGGGAGATAATGGAGGAGATGGAGAAGTTATTTGCTACAGTGTACTGGGTAAGAGGGGAATTTATGTGATAATAAAGAGTATTTATGTAATATTATAAAAGTAATAAATATAATTATAGAAATATATACAGAGTTATATATTCGACTGTTGCTGCGAAAAATTCAAAATTATTATGAATTCCAGTAAAGAGTCGACTCTATAAATTTAAATTCGACTCTTAGAGGCACTAGAGTCGACTCTATTATACAAAGAATCGACTCCCAAATTCCAGAGAGCAGCGAAACATTTTTGTGCAGAACAGAGTCGACTCTTAATGCTGCGGGGAAATAAACTCTCCTCCGTTCAAAATCGACTATTATTTTCTAGAGTCGACTGTTTTGCATGTAAGAGTCGACTCTCAGAGTATAGAGTCGACTCTTTGGCGCGGGATTTGATTAAAACCGCTCCAGTTCCAGATTTCCCCATTTTCCCTCTCTCTCCTATTCGACTCTCTGAGAAACCTAACACTCAACCCAGCCAAAATCCTCCCAAATTTCACCAAAATAACTCACCCAAACACAAACCCACACCATTTTCGGTCCATTCCTCTAAGATTCGTGCATAGTCATACAAAATGGTGAGGACTAAGAGAGTTGTAAAGAAAGCAAGGGGGCAGGCGGCAAGCACGTCAGGAAGGCGTCGAAGGGCTGAGCAAAGTCCTGAGGACAGTGGTGAAAGCACAGACACGGAGCAGGTATTTCAACCCGATCACCCTCAAAACTTTGTATCTAGAAATGCTATAGAAGCCTATAATAAATTAGGAAATAGGAAAGTCGTTTATGGTTTTAGAGTAGTTTTAGATGATATATGCAAA